TGAGAGCTCTCATTTGCATTAAGCCTGTGCTTTTAAAACACGGAGGAGAGCAGATGAGAGTTGGGTTTTTCCTCAGTTCTAACCATAATGTAGTGAAGAGCATTTGCCTTGAAAACGTCAGTTAAAAAGTTTTTCCAAATGCTGTTTTTCTCCTACAGTTTTAGTTTCCAATTGCTTATATCACCTCTCCTATTCGCCAGCAGTGAACTGAGAAATTGGCTAGTAGCCGGTTTGGACAGTTTTTTTTTTTTTTTACCTGCTGGGCCATTCAGTCACTCCTTGTTTTTGACTATTGCTGCCATATTGGTGTAACGGCACTCTTTAGTGTGCACTCTTGTCATTGAGGAAAGTACACTAAAGGGCAGCTCACAGTGGCAGAAAATGTGGGTTTATTTTGTAATGAACAGCCTACACCAGTACGGTCTGGTGGCCTGCCAATGCTTCAAGGTAAGATGTCCAGTTATTGGCACCTTGCTTTTTATCATGAACCTCTAGTTTAATACCTTTAAGAAATGCAGTGGAGACCTCATAACGAGGTAACCTTTAGAAATACACATTTTGCTTAAGATTGGCAGCAATAGTGAGTCATTTATCATTAATGATAAAACTATATTTTTGTTTGTGATAGAATGGGAGTCGCACCGAAAGAAAAAATCAGAACTCAAGTGTCTGAAGGCATCAGGGAGAACCCTTCAGTGACTAGAGCACTTACCGAAGTGCTCTGGCAGGCGCAGCTTGTCATTAACACGCTGGCCGGAGGAGTCCAGGACCAGTCCAGACTCCAAAATACTGGCAACAATGTCCAGTAATCTGTTCTGTTTCTGCAGAAACACAATGCATCTCACAGGTGCTAATTGATGTGTATCTGTTACCTTGATGTTACACGTCAATGCATAAATTCGGAGGAATCATAAAAGCTTTTTAAAAAGCTGTCATCTATGACACATCAAGATATGTCTGGAAGGGAGAAGACTTTCAGCAGATAACAGGAAGGCTTAACAAAGTACAGCAAACTTTCTCTTTTATGTCACTTTGTGTCGATCTTGTTTAGAAAGGTTTTCAGAATGTTGAGGTCAGTAATCTTAATTTTTAAGAGAATTAAAACGGAGACTAGAGTTTTAGTTTTAATGTTTTCAAACTTGATGATCCAGTAATCTCAGTTATGGAACTGACCAAAATTGGGGACCAAAATTGCCGTATTTGTGACTTTTTCAGCTGGTGCGGTTTGCTTTCACACTGCTCTGTGAATCGAATCAAACCCTTTGAGCATGTGTGTGCACCAAAAACCTCTGAAGAAGACATTGAGATCAACTTCCTTATTCATAAACTGTAAACAAGAATGGAGTGGCCAAAGGCAAAACAGAAGTCCTACAACTGCTCACTAACTGGCGATTAATCAGAGTTTGATTAAGCATTTACTCCTCCCAAAACAAACTGGACTTTCTAAGTGAACGAACTTGGGTTTGATTAAACTGGATTAAACGGGGCTGATGTGAATTCACCCCAAGATGTCGAAGACAATTGTAGATGTCAAATATATCATGCTGTCGTTTTTAAATGGTGAAACCTGTTTTAGCGTGACTGCTCACACATGAGCACGTTTGTATTTCTGCCCATAATAAGACTTTGTATTGTCTTCGATTCATTTCAATAGCTGCTTTTATACCTAACCTGAACACTTGACCTTGCCCTAACTAACAGATATATTCCTAATCCTGACCTTAACAAAAACATAATTCACACCATACCTCTAAACATAACCCCTAACCTTAAACAAGCGGCGTTCATAGCATTAGAACCGGGCTTTGGTCCTCATAAGGGCCATCGGTCTTCAGAAGGTTAGTAAATATGCCAGAGAAGGTCCCAAATAGAAAAGCTAAGCAAGTACACAGACACAGAGTGTGAGGATGCCTCTTTTCACTACATAAATACTTAATGACTGCTATCAACAGGAAGGCTAGAAAAAAAAAACATTTTGTAGTTAAGAAAATTTAGGAAAATAATGAATTGGCTGTTCTCATCATTAGGTTGAAACTTTAGATCAGAAATGAGCCACAGATTTCTGATCTGTGCATCTTTAATATCCACGTCGTCTTTATTATTTTGTAGCTTTTCACACGTCCTCAAAAATGTTCTTTTCTCCATCCCTTCTCCTTTACCTTGCCCTGTGTTTCAATTCAAAGGTAGATGGTGCATCTCAACAACCCTCATTAATCGTGTATGACATTAATCCTCCAAGCACTCGGAAGTCTCGCACCAGTTGGAGGACGTATGACTTGATACCGGTTAACGTGACAGTGAAGTGTGTCTCAGCTAAGACCAGTCCAGTTGGCCTTGTCTTTTTATTCCCTTTTCTCCCCGGCCCACCCTCTTCTCCCCAGAGGATGGCTGTCAGTTGCTCTTTCTTTCTGAGCTGCAAATAAGAAAGGAAAGCCTCTTTAATGTGCCAGCCTGTAACAACAGCGGGCTGTCAAGCCGATAACCCACTCTTTGTCTCCACAAGGACAATTGAAATACATAATTTGTGAGGGCTTTTGTTAGGTTTTCAACATTTCATAATGAGAACTCTGTACTTTTAGCATATATTCATTTTGAAAACCAAAACATTTAAGCCAAACTAGATCTTTTTATATTTTTATTTTTATTTTGTAAGCCCTATTTTAAACAGTAGCACTTTTCCTTCATCTAGGTCACAATACAGAGTTCAAACTAGCTAATAATTATAAGATTAATGCAGGGAATGATGGGAATTTGTTCCAATAGACATAATCAAATCCTCTGAGTCAAGAGAGAGAGAGTCGGCTCTCGTTGAAATAGATTGGCTGGCGAAGCTTGGATCTTGTAGGCTAATTAGAAACATAGAGACACGAGTGTATTAGGAGAAGTAGAGTATAGACTGAGGCTACACTGAATACACATTAGAGATCACTTACTTTTATGCATAACCTTTTTTGCATCTGACATCTCTAGTACACTACAACAGGCTCTAATTGGATCGTCTCTCATGGTTGGAGGAGACGGGGGCACGAGGCCTCACCTACACGGGCCACAATTCGATTTCAGCAGGAGGAGCTAATAATCATACATTCTGCTGAAGAAATGCTGCCTTTTTTTTTTTTTTTTTCATTCAGCGCTTTTTAAACTAGTTTGTCAAGATTATCCTTCTGCTGCAAGGTTGATCTGGACTAAAGCGAATCCATAAATATGATGGAAGATTCATTTTAAGCTGAAATATTTACTGTAATTGTTCCCCTCACCTCTAAAAACGCCCCAGATAGTTTGGTTTATACTGAATTTTATTTGCATTTATGAGCTGCAGCTTTTCAAAAGAGCTGTTATTATACACAAATCATGCATTAATGAAGAAAGTTAACACAAAGCCCGTTTGCAGCTGTCAACTTGGTCTTTTTAAATCAGCTGAGCTAATGGGCCTACAGGGAAAGTGGAGGATTTAAAAGACTGTAACACCCAGCTGTGCCCGTTCTCAGCTCACCCACCAAGCTTCAAATTTACCAGTGACTAAAAGCTAATCTTAAATGTTATGTTTAATTAGTTACTGACTGTTTTTGAACAAATACAGAGCAGAAGTATTTTATTTTCTGTCTGAATCAGTGAGACTTTGTGAGAAATTAACACATTAGATCTGCTGTTCTGCCACACTGAGTCTTAAGAGAATTAGAAACTAACAAATAGAAGATTTTCCACTACACTGAATTTGTGAAGACGGGACGTGGGACTGTGTATTTGAACCTTTTAAAAGGTCTCTTTGCTAAAAAAATTATAATAATGGTTGCGCACTACAGACATATTGTAAGAGCATTAAAGTTATTAGAAACAATGGCCTTTTTTCAACACATTGGAAGCTCCTTACAGTTGTAAACAAACTGGGTTTCTTTTTTGTATTTTATAAGTCATTATAAAAGCAATCTGCAGGTGTGAACTTATGTTCAACTTGGAGTTTGAGTTTTAAGGCCAGAGCTGCTGCCTTTGGAAGAAACAAAATTGCAGAACTTGCAAAAAGCTACCAAACTGCTCATTTGCTGGGGTTTTTTTACTCTCTTTTTTTTTTCTTCCTCCTCGTAAAAGGAGTATAGTCATCGACTGCTTGGGCAACCTCAATTAAAAATGCCACAATTTCACTGCAGCACAGTATTTACATAAAAACGTGATTTGTACGATATAATCCTTATTGCTTTAAAACCGATAAGCAAAAATAATTCATTATCCTAGAATAGATTTTATCCATCTTTCCCTCTCATTAAATAATTTTTAAATTTTGATTTATTTGTTTAGCAATAAAGTTTATAGTATATCATAATATATCATGTATTAAACAGTAAGGTTGCCAAATCTTCAGATTTTTTTTTTTTTTTACCTGCATCTCCACAATCAGTTTAGCCACAGTGTTGAGCAGGAAACACAATCTGTGTTTCTACTGGTCACTTTGTGTCACAGTGAAAACAGTTTTAAAAATTTACATGTTTTCTGCCGCAACCATTATAAAATTGTGTCGTAAAGTTGACGTCTTTTCCATTATAACTAAACTGGATTATTTCTATTTCTAAATCTGCCACTTACATTTAGGATTTGAACTTCAACCGGAGAACAAAATTGATCCGATTTGTCTCACCACATCCAATCCGTATGTGCAATATGGAGGTGTGTGCACTTCTGTTCAACTGGAAGCCCAAATTGAATGTCATGTGCAAAGAGCCTGATTGTTGTACTTGTTTTATTCCCTGCACCACACATCAGCGACCGCTCGTTCTAACAGGCTGTGATATGTTGATCTGTTGCAACTTTTTAAGATAGGAAAGTCTATGCATGGGTTTGACAGTTGCTTTATAATTTCTATGGTAAACTGTAAAATATAATACACCAAGCTTATGTTGTGTGAAATTGTCTTGTGAATCCTCTCACAGCCTCTTCAACTCACCTGCCATGTTTTTTTTGTTTTTTTTTGGTCGCTCTAATCTGTGTGTGTGTGTCTCTGCCCTCAGGTCTACCCAGGGCTCATGGTGACCGCCGGCCTTATCCACTACATCCTCAACCTGCTTCACGTCACGGTGCACATCCGGGATGTGTGTGTGTTCCTGGCGCCCGTGTTCAGCGGCCTGACGGCCATCTCCACCTACCTGCTGACGCGGGAGCTGTGGAACCAGGGCGCAGGGCTGCTGGCAGCCTGCTTCATCGCCATCGTCCCGGGCTACATCTCCCGCTCTGTGGCGGGCTCCTTCGACAACGAAGGCATCGCCATCTTTGCGCTGCAGTTCACCTACTACCTTTGGGTATGTAGACTGAAAGCTTAATCTAAATAGAGAAAAAGTGACATTTTTCTATACGTGTTCAAGTAATAGTTTTGTCATGTTTTCTGCCGTTGCTCATCTCCGTCTCCTTTTTTTCTAAGAGACGAGGTTTATGTAGCCAGGAAAGTAGGGCCCTACTTTCAAATCTTGCTTGCTTCACATCTTGAATTATTTATCCGTAGCCTTGAAAAGAAAGCTGGTGATCTTTGCAGGCCATGTGGTTCACAGAATCCAAACTGCACTAGAAAAACTTTCACACACCTTCACAATAAGATGACCTTTTAGAGTACAATCAAGCCTGGTTATGGTGGAATTCGGCCGCTGTTTCCAATTAACTTCCTTTTTTGTTTTT